GAATGCTTGAACGAAGTGTAGACGGCGTTTACACACGCTTAGGACAATGCCAAATGGTACAGGGTGGGCAATTCGAACAATTTCGCTAGACTTACACAAACATTAGTGTAATTTTACTCGTTTGAAATGTAATTTTGTCAACTTTGTCCTTTTCGGAGCCATTAATAGTGTAAGTAAACAATTATCACTTATAAGAACTTAAGGTGCATTTTTCTAAAAAAAATTGTTATGTAGGATATCGAAATTTTCACACCGTTGTTTAGATAATTATCACTGTCATCAATTTGGAAGGAAAAAAATATGCGTTGTAATTTAAAAAAAAATTGTCATCCCTGCCCTAAGCGGATTATCGAAAAAAACAATTTTCCACAAATAAAGGTGCCCTGGATCAAATAAAAATCGACGGGTCTCACCGTTTTTCGAAAAAGAAATTGTTTAACGAAAATATGAATTTTATGCAGAACTTTTTTACGATGCTGTATAAATTTCAAGTACATCTGTGCATTTGAGTAAACTCGATATACCTCCTTAAGTTGCAGTTATCCTTTCAAACACAGCATAGTTTAATTTTTCATAAAAAATGAACCTTTTACCCATAAATTACTTCTATGTGTTTGCGTAATTTCAGTCTAACACACCACAGGTGTGAAGTAAATTACTTGCATATCAACCTTTCGATTTGGAGGCAATGATATCGGTCCATCGCAACATATCTGCCTGTTGCCAAAATTACTGCGTTGCTTTGGCAGTATTTTGGTGACATTTCCCGTAAACTAATATATCAATTAATTCATTACTACTGGAAACATTGACCATTTCAAACATCGTATTTATGTAGTGTATTGTTTAAAACCTAAATCACCATTACTTTTATGAGACGTCACGTTCTGCCTGAATTACCGGTATAAGAAAGACAAAAAGGACAAGATTTTTCAAGGGAATGTCTTCAAATTATTACCATTATATTCGTCGAGTGAAAAGGAAAACTCCAATTTAAAAAAACATCCTGTGTAGTATTAAATATGTTCTACGTTAGTGTACTTCTAAGAACCTTACGTTGTATATGTGATATTTTTCGGACGCGATAACGTCGGCCAGCTGAACGCTTTCTTCGTGGCATCCAGATTCAAATAAAATGGAATATAACAGCAATACGATTTCTGGTATACAAGTTGATCTTAAGTAATCCGCATTCTTCGCGCCAACCAACCAACCTTCCGGAAACAGTAGAACGTTATAAAGCAGCGTCTTTGCGTTTTTAACTAAATGTGCCATAGTCAGCTTCCATCTGGAACGAAACAACAGTCGTATTTAACAGAAGTACGTAATAGTGGAGTCAAGATAGATTTCGACTTTGTGAAAATTAAGAGAGAACTTTTTATTTTTCGCTTTGTAAAGTTGTCAGAAACAACATATAAAAAGTTACCAACTGTAGAGTGTACGCTAAATTATTTATTCAACAAATTGTGCTACACTAAATTTATTATAACTTTTGATCTAATTGATCAAATCGACCTCACAAAAATTTAAATGAAAGAAGAGTCATCCGGCTATCAAAATTTTATGTCTTTAAACTTGAGAAAAAAAAATATATAGTACGTATACAAAGTTATGTCATTCTATAATTTTGTACAATAATAATAAAATAGCTGTCATTCTTTTAATTTTTAAAATAAATGTCTGTAACTTTCACAGATTACTCTTCAAATGACGATTGAGACAGTGAGAGATATGGAAAAAATCTTCAAAATTTAATTTGTAAAATATTGAGCCCAACATATTCAATAATTTAAAAAAATCACAAATTTGACTTTTTAGGCCATACTTTATAGATCAAAAACTATAGTTGTAAATGTGATATTGAAACTTTATGATAGCACTTTTTAAAGCTTAAACTTCTCTACTCTAAGGTGGTGCATTTTATTTTTCTTAAATAATTGAAATAATAGTTGAAAAAACAAAAAATAAAAAATAAAAATATTTCATGAAAAATCCGTGAAATTTATTGTTAAATAAAGTTTAATAATGTACAAAACATTTTTTTTTTGTTTAATAAACCATCAAAGAATTAAGTCAAGACCTTAAAGAAAGTAAATCCAGCGAAAAATAAATTTTTTATTTATAGTAATAAGTGGAAAATTATAATGGCAAAAAAATATCGTTTTTTGATTAATTGATTTAATATTCATTTTTAAAATATATTGAGAAGAATCAATAATTCAAAGGTTTAAATGGCAGTATTGGGATAAAAAGATATTAATGTCAAGGAATGACAGTGGAAGTTAATTTGATGACAATTTATAAGTAGATTATGAATTTTAGTGGAATATTAGTCTAAATCTATAAAAGTGGGTATAAAATAAGGGCATTAGATAGTGAATTGGGAATTAAATAATATTAGAAAAGTTAAATTAAAAATGTAAAATTTAAAGTGATCTGATTGGTTAATTAAAAAAAAAGGAGATTTTGTATTTTAAATTAAGTGTGTAGTGCGACGGTAATCAAGGAGACGAAAAAAAAAATAATAATAATAATAAATAAGACAGGAGAGTATAGAGGAGGAATTGTCAAAAAGAATATAAGAAGATTAAATTATTACCAGCTAATTAAAGTATCAAAGACGAGAGGAGAAGTTATTGAGAACCTGAATGAAAAGTTTCTGGAGATAAGAATTTGTATTGGAAGAAAGTAACAGGAGATACGGATAACGAAAAACGTAAATATTAAAAAGGTTAGATTATTAAAATTGTCTGAATTATCCTAGCCAAGAATAAAAGATTCGAGGGGTAAGAGAGACCAGGGGAGAGTTAGAAGTCCCATCTAGCATATATCGACAATCACCAGGAGAGAGTACGTAGACGCTTAGAAGGGAGAGGATATAAGCAACGCTACAGAGAGAAAGTACCGACGTAAGAAAGCAAGGACAGTGTAAGAAAGAAGGATTGTTGATCGGTCTGAAGTGAGTGACAATAATAATTATAAGAATAGAATAAGTACATGTTTGTAGCATAGAACTAAGATAGAGCAGGTTAAATTAGGGAATAGAAAAATTTAATAATTTATTTGTCATCATAAATATCAATAGAATGTTTGAACCCAGATCACACTATATTATTTAATTTTATTCAGTTTAATCTATGAACCGACTTCTGAGATGGGAACTCATGTTCTAATAAAATTCATAGAAATTATTTGTGCAAAATTAACAGAATAAATTTAGTTGTCAATCAAATCATAGAAAAAAAGAAAACACTAATAAAATTATGAGTTAATTTTAAATCCCGAATACTAAAACAATTTTTATCTTTGAATTACCATTTAAATTACATTGAGTGATATCCTGTGAGAAAAGCTAGCCCTGGTAAGTGATCAATTATATTTCATGAATTAATAGAAAAAGTTACAACATTCTACTGGCGCTCTATATAATAATACACACCAATACACAAAACAGAACAAAGATATTTGTCACAATTGAAGTATCACAATATATTCTGTATCTGAAATTGTGAATATAAATTCTCTTATTTATGTAGACATAGATATGAGTATAATATACATATATATATATACAGGGTGATCCATTAACGGTATCGAGTGGCTGTATATAGAAAACTAGACGTGCTATGATTATGGGGTAAAAAATCTATTAACAAATGCGATCAAAAGAAATTGATTTAAAATATTTTCAAATTTGTAAGTTCACAGCTAGGGGGCGCAACTGCTATAGTGTTACAGAAAATTGTCGGTTTTTCGAAATTTCACTTATATAACCTAACTTGCAAATACATTTTTTAGATACACTCCCTTCACAAGTTTTGTTTGAACTTTTTTTTGTTATTACCATAGCAACGTCAGTATGAAGGACGCTATCTTGAAATTTTTAAATTGACATAACTTCTAAATGCCTTAATCGATTTCAATAAACGATGGCTCATTTTAAAGAACTATTAATACAATTTATATTTGTGATATAGGAATAAAAATATGATTTTCCTGCGCAACGGTAGACGACGCTAATGAGAAAAGTTTTGTAATTGTCTCCGTCTACTAAAAAAAAGTAGGGTTGATTTGCACTACAGCATGCTCTTCCCGTGCTGGCATTGATTGCCTTAATTGTCCAGTTATTTTTGAAGAAGAGCAAGAACTCGATGAGATTTAATAAATTTGTTTTTTAAAAAATAAAACATATTTTCAATAAAACCACTTTAGTCATTTATAATTTTCATTTTTTGAACCTCTATATTATAAATATGAGCGAGTTTGTTCTTTAAAATCAATAATTGTTAAATAAATTGTTTAATATAGTTGGCCATATTGGATCAGCCATTTTGAATTTTCATTTTCCGACATCATATTCTTGTTTAGCGACCTCAAAAACCAATATATATTACAAATAGTGATGTAAAATAGCCCTCACCCCCTAGGGTGGAAGGGGTGACTTGAAATTACGTGCGCTCTTAGTTCTTCCCATCTATAGTACACCCCTAAAATTTCAGATTTTTATATTCATTTTTGACGGAGATATGCCAGGTACTCAAGAGCTACTACAGTCCAACCCAAGCCTACCACACCACAAGTTTTTAGTTTTAAAATATAAGGTTATGTTTGAAATTTGGCTTTATTGATGAAATGGCGGGAAAATTGATATATATCAGCTATTAACATATATATAATAGCTTATATGTATCAAAAATTGATATATATCAATTTGTTATATATGTTCACTCACATCACTAATTACAAATATAATCGAGTTTGATTTAAAATCGATAATTGTTAAATAAATTGTTTAAAATAGTCGGCCATACTGGATCAGCCATTTTGAATTTTCATTTTCCGACTTCATATTCTTGTTCAGCGACATCGAAAACCCCTATTTGGTCAATTTGAAAGAATTTGATTTAAAATTCATTGAATTATTTTAAATGTTCTTAAAAAAATTATTTATTATTGTTTAAACAATTAAAAAACAATTAGCGTACAAAAATAAGTTTATAACTTTTTTTCTAATATGTACTTATCTCCAAGTAATTTCAAAAGGTTTTAGGACAATTCATGCTTCCCATAATTATTTCGAAATAATGCAAAATTTTAAGCCATCTTGACTCCACTAATAATATCATTAATATAACATAATTATTTTTGCTCTTTATAAAATGTACATAATAAATTAATAACAATACTTACTAATTAGATACATTTAAAATACTATTAGAAATCAGTTCAAGTATTTAATAAAAAATATTTGTTACTATTTTTTAAAGTGCCGTGTTTAGTTTACGAAGCTCAGTGTCAATGATCTCTGACGATCACTGACATTTACCTAGTTGAGGTGTTTCGGATGAGACACAGAGCAGGGGCATGTAGGGGAATCCAAAATATGATGATTTGGCGTTGGCCTTGAACGTGGGGGTTTCAAATTTCGAAATAATCAATAATTCAGTTATGTGAAATTTTTTTTTGAAAACTAATAAAAGTAAGAAACGTTTTAGATTTAAATTCCCCACAAAATAAAGTAATAATTTTTTAATTCCGCCAATGGGTTAAAAAATTCTGTTACATTTTAATGGTGCATCATCCCTTATCAACCCTTTAAAATGCTTCAATTGAACTCTATTTATTGTCGATTAATGCTCTTGGTAGACTCACACCGTGTACCAAATTTGGTTTTTCTAAGTTCAAGTACAACTGAGATATTGATTTTTTTCAAAATTTGAAACCCCACTTTCAAGGCCCATAGCTTCTCAGGGGTGTAGCTTAGTACAAACGTAAGTTGCGTTAAATCACTATATTTTGGGTTCCCCTACATGCCCCTGTCTGTGTCGGTTCTCATGCGAAACATCCTGTATAATATCAATCCACCTGATATATGATAATAGGGTGAAATGAGGGTAAAAAGGAATAATTACACCTTGTACATCGAATAACGGAAGACATAATTTCCCCTACCTTTCCAGTTCCGCTTTGTACTGAGAGATTCTATGCTGATGAGCGACTTTTTCGGGAAACTGCGCATTGTCTGGCAATTCGTCGGGTGGCATAGGTTTACATTTGCACTGTTTAAACCACTCATTAAATGCCTCGTGAGCTTCCAGGTATGCCTTATAACTAAAATGTTCCTTAATTGCCTGGTTCAGTTCTTCGCCGACGTTACCTGTAGATTAAATACAAAGTTAATGGCATTCCAGGTAACCGAAACCTAATTATTTATGTTTTATAATGCTGTACCTTCACTTAGTAATACGTCAACGGTGTCTGACGAAACTTTATTTAGGGCCAATTGAGCCGCGTCTAGTTTTCCTAAGGTGAGGAACGTGAATATTATCGCGTTTGCTTGGATTAAGGCCTCAGCTTTCTGGTTGTCGTAAAAATTTACCCAATCTAAGGCTGATATCTTGTATTTGTCTAAATCGGTGATTTTTTGCTGAAAAAGCGTTCAAACTATACAGGGGATTGTAGAACATTAAAAAAAAATAATAAGAATGCCGTCTTTTGTTTTCGTGATCTTTTTGGACAAACGATGTATTGTGTTAAAATTTGCTACAAGTAAGTTTTCGACTTGTAGTCCAAGCATTCTGTCACGGATTAATGTTAAATTTGCAGAAATTATTACCTGGACAAAAAAAATATGACCGTATAGAAAATTAAATTTTAAATTGAGTTTCTTGTTTTTTAAACTCGATCCAAAATGGCGAACATGGTTAAAAAAATCGCAAAGTTGCAAAAAACGGTTTTTCTAAAATAACTAAAAAAATATAGCACCGATTGAAAAATTTTAAATGAGAAAGTTATAGTATTTAAAAAGATCTATCGACTGATTTTTTGTAAGTATCGATTGCTTTGTTACTTTTCGAGATATATCGAAAAAACCTTTAAAAATCTTCTCTTTTCTCTTCTTCTATAATATGCAAGCGCGACCCATTTAGACTCCACGTCATCAGTTCTCAGAGCGAGCGTACGCCGCTTCCCCCTACTTCTCCGTCCGGTCCAGATGACGCACTCAGCGCTTGCACGCTTCAGTTTATTACTCAATTACTAATACTAAAAATCAAGTAAACATATCCTACTATTTTTTTTTGAAAATATAAGTATTCAATATTAACATCCATCAAGCGCATAGCTGTAAAATGTTAATTTCGTCCATAAATTTTTTTTTTTAAATAAAAAAATTATCTCGGCACCAGAAGGTTGTAGAAAAACATTTTTTTTAATCCGCGAAAAGAGCAGTTTCTTTCTTTAAAACTCATTTTCATAAAATAAAAATTGAAATAGTTATTTGAAAAAAACACCCAAAAAAAGTGCAACATTTTCAGTCATTTTTTAATCCTTAAAATTAATAATATCGTCAACATTTTTTAACAGCATGATAATATAGCTCTTTACGAAGAAAATAAACCGAAAATCGTTACTGTAGGGCTATCCGCTGAGATGTGGAAGTTTCGAGAACGCCTTTTTTTCAAAAAATCCATATATCTTGAAAAATAATTAATATTTTTAAATTTTTCAAAAATGTACTTTTTTGGCTTGCCGCGGGCTATGTTTGCAGCAAATAGCAAGTATGGGAACGTAAATGTAAACGAGTTATAGAAGAAGAGAAAAGAGAAAATTTTTAAAGGTTTTTTCGATATATCTCGAAAAGTAACAAAGCAATCGATACTTACAAAATATCAGTCGATAGATCTTTTTAAAACCTACACCTTTCTTATTTAAAATTTTTCAATCGGTGCTATATTTTTTTTAGTTATTTTAGAAAAACCGTTTTTTGCAACTTTGCGATTTTTTTAAACCATGTTCGCCATTTTGGATCGAGTTTAAAGAACAAGAAACTCAATTTAAAATTTAATATTCTATACGATCATATTTTTTTTGTCCAGGTAATAATTTCTGTAAGCATTTTTCTATAATTCTTGGACTATTGGACATGGCGAAGCTTCTGCAGAGCCACCACTGAAAATGCCAACAATGAAGATTGGCAAAACGTTCGCTAGCATCGATGCGACCAGTTATAAAGAGCTTTACAGAACATCCCAAAGGTCTATCATTGTCCAACTAGAGATTCCATCCATAGCGATCTTAGAACCAGCAATAAAAACCTAAATGAGCATGAATACGGGCCTAGGGGGTCTGATAATAGGTCTGCCCCCACAAAGCTTAGCCCGAGAACAAAAGCAAGTGAGATATTCCTAGATAAGACAATGGAAGCGCAATGTAAAGTACTTTATTAATTAATTTATCAATATATCATTAAGAAAACAATTCATTCTCTATTCACTTGGACTTTATTCAGACAAAAGTTGAAAATATCTCTAAAAATCAGTTTTAACTCCGTTATAATGCAGTCTAATTGAAAAAATTCTTAAACCTTTCTCTAGATATCACATAATTTGTTTCATATTACAAGAACGATAATTTCTTTTTAAAAAATTAAGTTCTTTTCTCAAATATGTTAAAAAAGCAACTTTTTATAATAGAAAAAAGGATTTCTTTTGGTCAGTGGAGCTTTGCTGAATTGTCTATAAATATTAAGACTTGAATTTTTCACAAAATACAGTTTACGACGTAAACTACGATTTCCCGTGAATTGCATTGAAAAATGTGGAAAATTAACGACTCACGAGCCCTTTAAAGAGAAGGTATTTACTCACTAAGTAAACTGACCGGCGGACGGCGCCGTGGTGGTGGGGGAAGCTCGTTCAAGCGGTCGCGTGGGTGGGAAAAGTTCGAATTGATGTGCGCTGTAAATTTTGCAATATCTCGGCTTCTATTCATCGTAGAAACTTATTTTTTTTTTAAACGAATTCGTAGAATACTCCTGAACCCCAGAAAAATGCATCTTTTATACTTAATTTTTTTTAATTTACAAAAATGTTACAAAAATTATTGTTAAACGAAATATTAATTAAAATTTCAATTTCGGAATTATTTTACTATTATTAAATAANCCCCAGAAAAATGCGTCTTTTATAATTCATTTTTTTAAATTTACAAAAATGTCACAAAAATTATTGTTAAACAAAATATTAATTAAAATTTCAATTTCGGAATTATTTTACTATTATTAAATAAATAAATGAAGCTATCGTTCATTTAAAAAATTATTTTTTTCCATATTAAGGCAAAGTAAACTTGTTTTTTCAATATTTTGTTAGCTATTTAATTACGATTTAAATGTAAAATTAAAGTAAAAATTCATAATTTATTTTCAAATTAGGATAAGACTTTTTTCGAGTTTCTCTTTTATTTTCGCTAATTTTCCTGGTGTACTTGTGCCATTGGAAACAATTTTTTTGGAATAGTCAAAACTTGATTTTAAAAAAATTATCTGACACCCTGTATCCCTCTAAATAAAACATGTTACTTTTTGAAGTTGTTCAGGTCCTACAATTTTAGCGTCTCTTTTACAAAAAAAAAGAAAAAAACATTAACTCAACATTTTGTTTCCATTCGTGAACAAAAATGTTTATTGTCCATTTTACTCACCTGAAGGTTCACGCTTCCTTCTATTTCATTTGGTATATTTCTGATATTTTCAACCACTTGCTTCGTGATGGACAAAACGTCCAATCCATTCTGTTCGGCATATGTCAAATGTGATTTCCTCTCATTGGTATCAATAATTTTCTCCAAATACTGTGAATACAAATAAATTTGCGAGCCGGGATTCAATTTGCTCACATAGAACGGTATTAATTCGGCTTCGTTACGCCCCATCAGCCTCTTGATGTAACTGTATCGGTTGGATTTTTATGAACATAATTTAAAATTCACAACATACACATTGAAAGTGATTTTTAATTCATATTTTGAAATAAAATCTGACTTACGCTTTCAACACCTTTTCCGTGATGTCTCGATTATGTCCCTGACCGATCTGATCCAGAAATAGAATTAAATGCGCGTAAAACCGTAAATAATGAGTCGATACTTTATTATCTTCTGTCCATTCGTCCAATTCTCCAAATAGAGACGGTATTTCGTCTAGAATTATATATTTCTGAATTATGTGCTCCGTTCTACGAGATTCTTCCCGTACAGTAGGGTTCGCGGACGACTCTAGGCTGGCGAAGACTTCATTAAGAGACATTCTACAACAACACCCAAAATTACTTTCACTCTACATAAAGAAAAATGTAAATAACCTTAAATTACCTTTGAACCCAATATTCTTCGGGCAACGGCATATATTCTTTGTTCCTCACACAGCAATCTCTGATCTCAGATTCGACCCGTATATCCACCATAGACTTCATGTACGCCCACAAATTATCTTTCCAAGAGTCACAAACTGGAAGAATTGGACTCACAAATCCACAAAATGAGCCCACTGCTGCTCTCTCGTAAGGATTTAAGTATTCCTATAAAATAAACAAGTTATAATTATTAACAAACTTTAATACTCATTTATAGGCTTCTTCGGAATAGTGCAGGGTGCTCGACAGATCTCGGGAAAGCTATCCCTTTGAAAACGATTGAACAATATTTGGGGAAGACCACTGTGTCCTTACGACCGGTTCCTTTCCTTGTATCCTTCGGTAGTTGTGGACTGCAACTTTCTTTGTAAGGTAGATGATTTTGAATTTAGTTCAACAAAAGGCAGACGTAGGCCATTGAATTATAAATTTATTCTACCGCAGATGCATAATTACAAAATGTGATGGAAGAACAACAATCTTAAAATATTTTTGCTTAACGAAATATTCTTAATAATTTTTTGAAAACAAAACCCACTCTAATCCAAGAACGGGATTAGCAGAAAAAACTATTTGGGAGCTTTTTCACAGACCGAGCGAGAGAGAGTTGTTCCTCAACAAAAAGATTAAATTAAATTCTCGCCTTTTTTTTAATGAAACTTATTCCTGGTATAACTGCCACTGCTACTTGTAATAAGATAAGTTGTTAGCTGTTTCGTTTTGAATCAAGCATCTTCAGAGATATTATAGAAAGTGACTTTTTTTTCAAATTTCAACACCCTATGAAACTATCGATTTATGGACATATGTTTATACAACCCTTTTGGTTTAAAAATACTCAAAGAATCACTCCTAAAAGTTTGTCTACATTCTTAAACACCCCAGCTGTTTTTTTTTTATCGATTTCCACTAAAAACAATTTTTAGTTGGCAGATCTTTTTCTATATACTGTTACTTTTATACCTTTAACAGTTTTCGTGATTCAAATTTATGACAATTTACAAACATCTTTATATATTAAAAAAATGAATTATTACATTTCTTTTGGTTGCTCTACTTACGATATAATCGGTATAATAAATTTAGTTTTTTTTATGAAATCAATATCCTCTGTCACCCCCAGAATGTTTGACAAATTTCATTAAGTACTTAATTCGAAAGTATCACTTACTTGTTTGCAATATTTAATAGCTATGTTCTTCCACACATCTCTGTTACTATTTCCCTCGATTTCCCTAAGTTCGTTGGAATCTATTTCCTCATATCCATCATCTACTTCTGAATTTGCATCAAATTCAGGATTTTCTTTTATATTCGGATCATGAAACAGTCTCCAACCCTCAAATATAGCGGCTCTCCAGGAATGCCCACACTGCCTACATAACTAAACATGTAAAATAATATAAATATTTTTATTTATACAAGGCGTAGGTAAATAAAGCTGTAACACTAAAGTAATATTTTTCTGGAAACAACTTTCAAAAATGTACTAAAAATATAACAGCTGTACCTTTTGAGCTTCCTCTAATTTTCCACACCTAATTTCAGTAAAAATACGTTTGGATAGATGTGCTTCATCTTCCATATCCAAATCGTGTAAAGGTTTTTTTTCGTAATGTGGAGCATCTGGATCCATTTGTGATACAATCTTCCTCGAGCTGCCGAAAGCTATATTTTCTGCAAACTGTAACTGATGTAATGTATTTTCCCAACCCACACTACTATCTGAAAAGTGCAGAACATCGTCATTCTTGTCCGCCGCGTTACATTCCAACCAATCGATAACAAGCTGACTTTCTCTCAAAAGGCTATCACGTTTGAATAAATTTTCAACACAAAGTTTTTCAGAAGAACCAAAATATTGTGTAATATCTGGAATTTAATAACATAATATATATTGGATCACCAAATGGTTTAAACATTTTACAGTTTCAATCAAGTTACTAATTTTGTTGCAAACTATTAGATTCGTATTTACCTTGCATTCCATTTTGAGCAAAAAGGCGATCTTGATAGAGAATAAAAAGTAATCGCCATGTATTTCGTTCTTCTTCTAACCAGATTTCTTCTTCTATGGATAAAGTGGCAACTTTTGATCTCAATCCTTGTACAATTTTTAAAACATCTGAACAACAACGAGCTAAATCAGATATTACGTCTAAAATGCTGTGACTTCCTACAAAGTTCAAACGTACAGTAATTAAGTTTAAGAATTCATAGTGCTTAAGTTCATTTAAACACCGCTCAGCCATTACTCATTTTAAATAGTAACTAGTTAAGGAAATTTTACCGTAAATTATATACAAATTTTACCGTAAATTATATACATATTACCTGAATGACTTTGGAGAACAGAATAAAATTCAGAAAACAGATTATCAATTGTAGTTTTCCAAGGAATATTATTGGCTTGTATAACTTTTCCTGTAACAGATTTGTCAGTATGTAAAATAGTTGTTATAGTTTCCTCATATAATGAAGTGCCATCTCTAAACATAATGTTTTTTATTTCATGGGGAGCTAATGTAAGCGATAAATCAAAGCAGTCACTTTTATCTCTCCTAGGGATTCGCACATTTTTTTTTAATAATCCTGCTCCTGGTGATAAGGCGTCCTCCAATAAACGAACCGACCTATCCAAATCATTATCCATTTTAACTGATATTAAACCAAAATTATTTAGTACAATGAAGAACAATTACATGCAATATAGGTTAGAAAACCTGGGAAACAACATTTAAATTTCAACGAATACCATTGTTGTTTCGTGTGTGCTGTGTACCGGTGGAATACGGAACACTACTCAAATATTTTCCTTGGTAGAACTCTAGGATGTTCTGTGGTAGAACTGATTCATACGTCAAAAAACCACACTGTTTACCAATAAAATCGTGAATTTAATTAATGAAGAACTACATCATAGAAAATATAGTATTTTCCAAGAACTACATCAATTTATTGATGAATAAATTGACAATGTAAAACAGCTATAAGTGATTAATGATGATTTACTCGATGGGTTTACTCTGATCCAAAGAAATTTTGATCTATTATGGTTATTCCAAATCCAAACCACGAACACATTGCTATAATAAACTGTTTGCAAGAATTTGATTGTTGTTCAAGATGTATATTAAGATTGTTGAATATGAGGATTGGAACAGAAATGTATATAGATGCAGATGCTTACATAAAAGTAAGAATTTTATACAAATATTTTTTCAGTATTTACTAACCTCTAAAAATATATTTTTCACAACTTAAATGATAGAAATACCACATACTTCTATAGAAGTATAGGATAGAAGTATGTGAGAAATACATAGTCAGTCGCAGTAACTGACTCTCCGTCCCATCTTAAAAATAATTTACAAAAAACAATTTATTAAGTTTAATTGAAAAAACTATTTTTCAAGATTTGCCTGTTGCTTACTGGCAACTATATGTATGTAAATTGTTTTAGGATATATTGAACGAAAATCCAAACACAGAAATTAATCTACCATCAAAAAAAATTAAACGAAATCCATGTCGAGTGTGTTTAGATATATTACAAGACTCGACAGTAAAAAAATTTTCTGAAAACATAAAATTTAGTAACATTAATGAGTACCAGTATTCAGACTTTGTTACTCATATAAGTTTACCCAAAAGTGTGATCATCAGAAATCACAGTATGTGTACATATTTAAAAGAAAATTTTCCAAAAGTATATAGTGACTTCAACAGTAAGTAATTTATTTTTTTGCTTTTACAATCAACAGGAATAGCTTTACCTAATTCTGTGTTTTTAAAGGTATAGAAAGTGTTAATAAAATCTTTAAAATAGCCTCCACTGCAACAATATCTGAAATAACATCTAAATTATTCAACCCACAATCAAATTTAATTCTGACGTTTGAGGTGGAATACGAAGACGATAATTTGGTGAGTAAAGTTGTTTACTTATTTTCTTATTTTTCAGGTGTTTATTGCAGAGAATCGAGATAGAGTTGCTTTAGTTTTAAATTATTTTCTAACACTATCTACATAACTATTTGCTTCATATTTTAGGAGATACAGAATATAAAACAATTAACACATTTAATAAAGAAAGGTAAACAACAAGAGGCAAGTAAAAACGTTATAGTGGAAATTCTAGACAAATGTGATGATGCCTTATTTAAGAAATATTTCACTGTTCCCCCATCTACACCAAACAAAGAAACAATAGCAAAAGTTCATTGTGTGGCAGAATCAATATGGATAGGAGGAAGATACTTAAAATTTTCACGTGAAATGGGTCAAACTCCTTGGATTATTAACAATAAAGTTATGGCAAAGTTTAATATTCAGGATGTTATATTTGACAGCATGGAAAAAATATTAGGGTAAGGCTTATAAAATCAGAAATAAATTCCCTTTCTTCTTACATTTATTATATATGTATTTACCGATGTGTAAACAAAGTATTTCCAGCTTCATGCTTTACTAGGTAATGAAAAATGATTATCTGCTTATCGGTTTTAATCGCCTAAGAGATATTTAACTACCTTTTTTAGATGTAACAGAAGCAAATTAACATTTTGTGCGAGTGGTCGGGAGGATGCCGATGTAAGAATGCTCGGTAATGGTAGACCATTTTATGTTCAAATTGATGATCCTAGAGATAAGCGTATAACATTTGACCAGTGCAGAGCAATCGAAAAAGAAATTTTCCACTCTGAAATAGCTGCGGTTGTGAAATTACAAAATATCCCTAGAACCAGTCTAAAGAAACTTAAGGATGGCGAACAAAATAAGCGTAAACATTATTATGCATTATGCCAAATAATAGGCAAAGTTGATATGAATGATATAGTAAATAAAATAAATGCCTATAAAAATGAAACCTTGGAAATTTTTCAAAAAACTCCCCTGAGAGTGTTGCATAGGAGAACGCAAGCTGTTAGGAAGAAATACATTCACAGTATGGAGGCAAGGGTGGCTACAGGTATGTTCCATTTTTAGGACAAAACGAAAAGATCCTGTTTAATATGGAATATAATAAAAATGAAACGCTATGGCATTTTCAAAAATGTTCAACTATTAAACAGATCTTAAAGAAACGAGTAAAGCTGAGTGTTTGAATTTAAAAAAAAAATAGGATCAGTGCACTTGTTTTCTATTATTTAGTAGATTTTTTAAATTTAATCCTTAACAAGTTTATCAAAAAATTCTGAGTTTTTTGTTCAACTTGCTACAAATCTGTTGTTTTTAAATTAAATAATGATCTCATTTTTTAGAATATATAAAGTTAGGTCAGCTTTAAAAATTTTTAAAATTGATTTTGACACAATTTTCCATAAATTTGCTGTGAAAACTATTTTTTCGCAGCACTCACTTTAAAAAATATACAGGGTGATTCAGTCATAATGTCATTAATTTTAAGAGCAGATAGAGAAAAATGAGTATAATACGATGGCGTGATTAAAAAAAAATTTNGTAAATGGCGACTTCCAAAGGACGCAACCTAGTTTAAACTCAATATTAAAATTTCCCATTGATGTTGCTGCATTAGACGTTACTAATATCGACCTAGCTTGGCCTGAAGAATAAACTTGAAAGAAAGTCGTAATTTGTAAAAAAATTAAGCAATTAAAGATAAGTTATTAAATTTTAATAAAATACTTTTGATTATCCATCAAACATAAATAAAATATATTTTTAACTCTACCCTCCTGAAGAGTTTTATTTTTTTATGTTATGTTCCTATAGGCATTATACAGGGTGTTAGTGAATGAGGAATATATTTATAAGGAGGCTATCGTTGACTTCTATATAGAAATACATATCAGCTATGAAGGTATATGCTATCTCTTTCTCGCCAAATGTGCTTGGCTGTTGTCGTGTAGTCGTAGAGGGGATCAGTTGTTAGCCAATCATGTTCGGCAAGAGAGAGATAGCGCATACCTTCATAGCGGCTATCTCTCTTTTCACCTTGTGACGCACCAGGTCATTGGGCAGCTATCTCCAGTAGTATATGTCCGAGGATAAAGAAGGAGTTGCGTTAGCCAATCACGTGCCTGCTCGAGAGAGAAAGGTAGTACCCAAACTATCTCTTTTTCTCTGTCACTCGTCTACACTATCACCATGCTTCCTCCATGAAGTATATGCTCTAAGTGTGAAGTAGAAATAAAATTTGAAAAATGTTTAAATCGGCCTTTGAAGTAAAAAAGTAAATGGAGTTAAACTTTCTACAGTCAAGAGAATGCTTGAAAAATATAGAAATATTTGTAATAAGAACCCACAATAAATTAAACTAAAACATTATATAAACGATCCAGATGTTATGAACTTTCAGTTACTGTATTTATTTGACGATCTGTATTAAACGGAATACATTGGAATAAGTAGAAATAAATGGGAATGTGGTAATAAACAGGAATAAGTGGGAATAGTACAATCAAATTAGATTTTTACGTGCCAGAATTTAGTTCAATAAACAAAGACATGTAAAGATTAGGAAAAATTTTGTAGAATCGAATGAACTAGACTAGGTACTTCATCCCACGTTTTTTTTCATATAAAAAAAAACATTTTAGAAAAAAATCAACAACAAAAGTTGTAAAACTTTATAGCAAAAAACGGTTAAAAATCGCATTTTTTTAAAACTTGTATGTTTTTAAAACGAAAAAAGATTTTTTTACGAAACTTTCAGAATATATAGTCCTTGGCCAGTAGAATGAGAGCATTTTCTTGCAAAATATTTGATAGTTTTTGGAAAAATCGGGTTTTTCATGTTTCAATAAATCGTACAGTAATGCACATACGTGAACGATCTTGGACTTAAAAAATTTTTTTCTAAAAGTTGTATCTTCTTGTAGCAATTGTGCGCGTACTACAAAATAATTTGAAATAAGGTATGGGAAAAATCTACCGAAACTTTGACTTCTTTTATCGGGTTGAAAAATGTAGATCTTTGAGCTGAGACAGGCAAGGTTGGTTCTTTTTTCTAAATTTTGGCACTGCTGTCCCTGACACATCGATACTGTCCATATTTACAAACATACAATTCCCATGACATTTTTAATCGGTTTTAATGCCAGCGATTGGTGTATGCATGCTATTTTGCTGTATGTTGTTGCCTATAAATAACAGTAGGGTAACAAGAGGAAGTTTAAACGTTTTTCTGAAAAACATTTAATGGTTATTAAATAAAACATTATTTATCAATGCATAAATTTATTCACGATTAATTTGGCCTTTATATAAAAAAATTAAATTTAATAAAGCGTAACAATTTAACCTATAATTATTGTAGGTATAAGATGAAAATTAGAATACTATATTTTGGACCGGTTTTTCCACCTCCTAATTAATTTTATTTGTTAGTGAGAAAAACCGACCCTTAAAGAAATAAATTGATACGGGCAGTCATACACTTGCACACTTATTCTGTTCATACACTACAAATATATATTTTTTTCACCGTAAAACAACATTACATGCTTCCTGCTGATGCTTAGAAAAATGTTCATCAAGATAGATTTTGATATACAGGACATTGCGACAAACCTTCAGGATCAAAACTAAAAGTGATTTCTAAAGGTACATTTTTAATGAATTATTCAAGAATTATTAAAGAAAGAGGTCGGAAGCGATAGAGTGAACAAAAACAGCAGTTTGTTTGCCCAAAAGCTGCCCTTTTCTGTGACTGGAATAATTATTATTTTAAAATAGAGGAAAAATATATGTATTAAATTTAAATAGCGGAGATCTCAGAAAGGATTGATTTTTCACAGAATTTAATTTTCTTCATCTTTTAAATTCATACAAACAACTTTTTTTTTGTGTGGTGTAATTTAGCATAAAAATAGCACTAGTAAAAAATAGCATATCCATGTCAAGTTCAGAAAAGGAATACTAACTCAACAAATAAACAAGTTAATTGTAGTTATTAGTTGATTATGACAGAAATAGAAGATTTTGCATATTTATACATGCACTACTTTTTTGAAATCCCAGATTGAATTTGTTTTTTCATGAAAGTGGTCTGTGCGTCTAGAAATTAGAAGGTCTAAAATGGTTAAAGGCATGGATGGAAATCTGTGCAAGTTAGTTTTACACAAATTTGCTTTTACTTGAAGGAAAAGTAATAGACAAAGTTTTATGTGATTACATATCGTACATCCAGTTCAATACCGCCACAAGTGTAAATTATAACATTTTTGAGTAGAAGGAAATAAAACAGTGGTGTTGTTTAATTAGTTCCATAATTAATTAGCTGTTTAAAATTTTGATAGAGTATACTTACATGTTGCTGATATATAACCATACATAGAAGAATTATAGACTGAGACAATATTAGAATTTTGTTAGATATGGCGTTATTGCACTGAAATTTTAATATTTTAAAGTCACATCTGCGCCATATCTGCCATATTTGCAAAATATGGTCTATTTTAAAACTTAATCACTTGTGGCTGTATTTCATTTCGAAGTTAAACATGTTGGCACTGAAATACCGCCATAAAATCAAAAATTAAAAATTTGCAGTTACGGCAGTATTGAACTGGATGCACGATATGTATATAGTGAGCGACAAATGTATGGAATATATTTATTTAAAAATGAGATGTTCGTTATTTGAAAAATCGCTCGTACCCGTCGAATTATGTTTTTAGTTGCGCATTTTCTGAAGCAATTTTCATTTATACCGAGTGGCCCAAAAAAAACTTATGAAATCAAGGCCAACTTTTTTAAATGGAAACCCCTCTTTTCTGTATTTTTATTCAATTCTCCATCAAATTCTGATAATTTATGTAACATAACATACCTATCTTTAACCGTTTTCGAGATAATGGCGTCTGAATATAGCATATGGAAAATTTTCAAAAATTACCCTGACATTTACCCTGCTGGTTTAAAATAAATCCACGTTTACTTTTCCACCTTAGATTTGTGTGGTTCACAGAAAGTTTCCTCAAATCACACAAATCCATAAGAAATAAGTGGTTCGGTGATTTATTTTGATCATTAGCACGCAATGACGAATGTAAAAAATATAAGTGAGGTATTTAGGTATAATTTAATTAAAAACGCATAATTTTATGGTATAAAATATGATTTTGTTAAATGTCACTATTTAAATTACGAGCCAGGTTATTTTTGCAAATTTTTAGCAGCGTTTCATGTTTTTTTGTAAAGAACAAAAAACTTAAAAAACTCTCCAGCAAAACACGCATTGTAGCCGTCGTCAAGCAAGTAAATATTAAATAGGTAACGTCAAAGTCAGTTGAAACTGATGTACCCTGTTCACTACTACTATTTTTTATTATTTAGGAAAGTGCAATTACTTAACTAGATGGCGCATCTAACAGACACGCAGCCGATAGAAATTCTAATTTATTTGGGACACGGTGACAAAGCCAGAACACAATAAGAAGTGTGTGATATATTCAATAACAAGTATCCAGATCATTCAATCAATCAAGCTGTGCTTAAATATTTGAAAAACACAAAATGTATTTAGCAAAAAGTACACCAGTTTCCACTGACTTTGACGTTACAGTCCTTACGTATCGAGAGTAATTTTTGAAAGTTTTCCATATTCTACATTCAGACACCATTATCTCGAAAACGGTTAAATATAGGTATAGGTTATGTTACATAAATAATGATCAGAATTTCATGGAGAATTGAATAAAAACACAATTAAGTGGGGTTTCCATTTAAAAAAGTTGGACTTGATTTCATAACTTTTTTTGGGCCACCCTGTATAAATGAAAATTGCTTCAGAAAATGCATAACTAAAAATATAATTCAACGGGTCCGAGCGATTTTTCAAATAACATACCATCTGATTTTTAAATAAATATATTCTATACTTTTGCCGCTCACGGTATATCTCTAATTGTATTATTTCACATAATAATTTTTTTTTTAAAATAGCACAAAATAATTAACTTTTATTTATGATAAACTGCTGATGTGTCTAATGTACTATTTTTTAAATTTTTACTAGTAAACCGCGCATGTTAAGAAAAAACAAAAAAGAACGGATTGGAATTATTGGAAATGATCTAACCAAATCTGCAAAACATTCTCATTAATGCCAAATGTTTTCCGTTTTATAGAAAAATGTTAGTTACTTTGTTTTGGCGTTAGGAACCACCGTTGAAAGAATGTCGCATCGCTTAATGTTTAGATTTTTACTGTCCTGATACGAAAATTGGTTGATCCCGACCCAAGCTTCCTCCTTACAGCCCTGTTCTAGTACAAAAAAAAACCCAAATTTAAAAAAGAAAACAACATAGTTCATATTATTTTCATCACAACCAAAGTTAGTTATAATAAGTATAGTTACATGGTTCATTTAAGAATATAAATGCCTTTTCAAAGTGTATGATTTATGTTGTGTTGAATAACAAATATCTGTAGAAAGCCAGTCTTTCTAGAGAAGATATTTTCATTTTAATGTAACCTTATAAATAATAGTAATAATAGTAGATATTTGATTTAACAGTTGTTGAAAACTATTGTTTAAATAGGTAAATAATGAAAGTCTAAACCAAACTATTTTTCGGTCACTCGTTCCATTATATTTGAAGTTAGTTTTTCTCAGATGCTTTTACCAAAAATCTTAGCATGGCTAACTTTCCCTATTATAATTATGTATTT